AGAAGCTTTATCAAAAAGGAAAGTTTTAAGCCTAGCCTTAAAGTAGACAGGGTGTCTGCCTGTGTGTGAGAATAGAGATAGAATGATGCAGAACGGTGAAATCATGAGACGCTTCCTCAGAAACGGCTTCTTTGTATCGTTCTCCTTTTGCAGAACAAGCCACGCAGGGCCAGACCACGCTGCTGGTGGTGACGTGTGGGATGGTGAAGTTTGAAGGGAACAAACAGCGTTTCTTCAACCAGAACTTTCTCCTCACAGCCCAGGCTTCACCAAACAGCGATCAGCCCGTCTGGAAGATCGCCAGCGACTGTTTCCGATTTCAAGACTGGAACAACTGAGCTGAGTTTTACCTCAGGCTGTTGCTTTGAAAACCGCAAAACCAGCATCAGTTACATTTTAGCAGGTTTTTGTGTTTTTATCTGTAAAATTTAGAAAATGTCGAAATAAATGTGGATCATTTTTGTTCAACTGTTGATAGAAAACAACAAAGAAGCAACTTTTGATCGTTTTGAAGCATAAATCAGAATGAGGGGAAAAGCTTTTCTTTGTGTGGATTAGTCATTTCCTGGGTCTGCATATTATTATTTAACTGCTTCCACAGTTCGACTAGTTTTCTTCCAAACAATATTATGACCAGTTTAAAACTTTATTGTTATCAGGGGACAAAAAAAACAACATTTAAATGGTGAATTTTATACATTTTTTAAGTTGTTATTTGGGCCATTGCTGCAGCTCAACGCAGGACTTTCCTGCTCGCTTGGTTTTAACTGCTCTTATCTCCTTCGGTTTAACTTTGTGGGATGTTTTTCGCTGAACTTTGAAAATAAAAACTGTTTCCAGGAAAACCCAAACATCATCTCCCTTAATTGATTAGACTGAAAATGAAGAACAAACTCAGGACTGTCAGCAAAGCAAACCATGAAGCTGCTCGTTCTCCTTCGCCTGGAAAAAGACGATAAGAAGGTTTTAATGTCATTATTTAAGGTTTTGTTTGTATCCTTTCAAACTTTGCTTTTTGTCTCTTATTATTATTGATTTCTAAATGCAAAGTTAAAGGGACGATAAAATGTTATGTGATTAAAAGTGAGAAAGTAATATTTTCTCTCAGAATTAGAAGAGTTGTTTTCCACAGAATATATCCTGAAAATCAGAATAAAGGAATAAATAACTGAACATCTTGGATTAAAATAGTTTTTAAAGCCACTAAGTTGGTTTAAAGGAAAAGTCGGTCAGCGAGGAATAATCAATGGATCATTATTTATACCTAAAACTAATACGTTCTCGGTGATTTAATGAATTTAGTGTTAATCAGAAAAGAAAAAAATAAAATTTCATCATCAGTGATTCTGGGAGCGGCCATTTTTAGCGCCATTCTCCTGCTTTACAGCAAAATCAATGGGAACTATCAGACACATCTGCAATCAACAATTATTGAACATTTCCAAACCAGCAGGTGGCAGTAGTGTTCTTTGACAAACATGGATGCCTCCAGTAAAGCACATTCACATGAAAATGACTCTGAATTAAAAACACTGATCATTTATTGAACAGGATGGAATCATTTCAGGTTTAAAGAACTTTTAGAAGTTTTTATTCTGAATATGAGCGACTTTTCCTTTAAAAGTCCTCCAGCTTCTTTCCATTTTCTTTCCTCCAGCTTAATCCTGAGATTATTTCATCTTGTAATGTAAATTATTGAGGATTATTATTCCTATCTATCTTAAAAAATGGGATTCCAAAGCATTCTCTGTTTCAACACTTGGGACTTTTGGAGTAGATTGAAATTTACAGCTTAAAGGTATGAGTGGGAAACATTCTGCTGAGGCAGTGAACCAACGGAGGGAGACGCAGCGGATCCACAAAGTTGCTGCTGTGCTGATAAGTTCATTTACGTCACCAGTGCTACTATGAGTCAGTGGTGTGTCCTGCCAATAAGACACCCTGTTGCATCACTGCTTATTGCTTCAGTTGGTGTAAGCACACAGCTTTAAACACTCCCATTAATAATGATCCGGATCAAACTTCCTCTGCAATAACCTTCCAACAATCCAAGCTTTATTTGGCATCTGTGTGTTTTCCAGCACGGTGTGACGTCATTAGACTAAATGTCTAACAAAAAGCTCTAAGATGAAGCTGGTGGAATACGGTGAGTGGTTAGGAAATTCCCAGCATAATTACTTCTACAGTCAGTTTTCATCATATAAACAGAAGCCAACATATTAGTGTCACCTTCAAGCAGAAAAGATTTGCTCATCGTTAATCACTGAAAGTGGAAATTCCAGGAGTTAGGATAATGTCAGCACTAAAGTATCCTTATTTAGTTATAAAATAATAAAAAATGTGAAATATTCAATTCAGGTCAGAAATAATTGATCACTATGTAATGAAATGCTGTTTTTCTTTTGTATACCACTCAATCCTGACGATGTCGGCCATTTTTTATCTTTAAGTTGTTGTCTTCGTTAATCCACTCACAGCCCAAACCTTCAAAAGTTATAGAACTGCTAACTCCCAATGAAAGCTCAAACATATGCTTCCCATTTTATTAAAAACACGACGACCCATTGTGTCCTTAATAATCCTTTATAGCCAGTGATAGAAAGTGGCAGATAGCAGCCCTTAACACTGTTTTCCAGTGTAGTCCTGTTTCTCTGACTGTGACTAACTGGATGTGCTCTCTTCATCCTCTGACATGGGAGC